CCCCCCAGACCCTGCTGTCCCTGGGCCTCTGCCACCAGCTGCTGGGCGACGCCCCCGCCACTCTTGCGTGCGTCCGCGCCCTGCGCCGGCCCCCCGCCGCCGCCGCCGCCGGCGCCGGCGCCAGCGCGGCGGCCGCGCACCCGGCCGTGGCGCTGCTGGCGTTTTGGGGGCACCTCGCGTCCGGTGACGCCGGCGGCGCGCACGGGGAGGCGCTGGGCGTGGTGGCTTCCGACGACTCGGACAGGGACGGCTGCCTGGCGGTTGCGACTGAGCTGCTGCGGTCAGGGACCGGGCTCGGCGCGGACGCGCTGAGGCCAGGTGGGCGCGTGAGAAAACACGGAAGAGAAAGGTCGAGGTCTCGTGACGTGCGAGGGAGGTTGCTCGAAGGCACCGAAGTTGGGACAATGCTGCTGTGGGATTCAGAGAAGCCATGGCCATGCCGTTCCTGTGCATCACAATCTTCGTTCTCCCCTGCCCTCTGGTCCTCATGTTGTATCAATGGAGAAGACCCTTGGCAACCCCAACGTGCTCCCCACACCTCACAGTTCTTGACCTGGTGCTGGGCCGCTTCCCCTCGGACCTGCCACTGCTGGCCGCCATATCACGCGCCGCCCTCGAGGGAGATGCCGGCGAGCCCCTGCCCGCACCAAAAGCCAGCAACGCTGGCGGCGGCGGCGGCGACAGCGGCGGCGCTGGGAGCGGCGGGGGCGGGCTGACGGAGCGCGAAGGAATGCTGCTGGGGTTGCTGGAGCAGCATCCGGGCTTCGCAGAGGCGGCCGGCGCGGCGCTGCGCTACGGTGGCGGCGGCGGCGGCGGCGGGGAGGAGCAAGAGGGTGAGGAGCAGGCGGAGGGGCGCGGCGCCGTGCTCGGGGCGCTGTGCGGCCACGCCGGGCGGCTGTTCCAGGCGCGGCGCTATGCGGCGGCGGCGCGGTTCTACGGCGCGGCCATGGCGTTTGCAGAGGTGCGCGCGTTGTGCCATGTCGGTGGTTCCTTTGCCGTTGCGCATCATGAATGGTAGCCCTGTGATGTGCGCAATTCCTGTGTAGGTGTACACACTCCATGACAAAACTACTTGCCTTCACCCCAAATGCCGCCCACCCCGCCCCTGATCCCCAAGCAGACGCGTGCCAAGGCGGTGCTGTGCCGGTGCGCCGCGCTCTGCCACATGGGCCTGGGGGCGGCGGAGCGCGCGGCCGAGATGGTCGCGCTCGCAGAGGATTACCACCCGCGGCAGGTGGGGGGGGGGGTGTCGGAGCGTGCTGCACCCACGGTCGGCAGCGGCGCAGTGCGCGTGCAGCTGCAACAAGCCCGCCCCTCAAGGCAGGAGGCATGAAGCCGTTACTCAAAACTTCCGGCTACTGCGAACTGCGAAGCAAACCCCTGTTGCCCCCATCCATGGCGCCCGTCCACGCATTGTTCAACCGTCCACAAAAACAGGGCCGAACTGCACATCCCAACCGCCCAATCATCACTCCCATCATGCGCAGCTGCCTCGTCTCAGCCCCTCCTCCCTCGACGCAACCCACGATGTTACATATGCCTTGCGAACCCCCCCCCCCCGGGGGGCCGCAGGTGTGTGTCAGCTTCATGAGATTCAAGCTGGCCCTTGACGCCCGCGACACGGCGGCCGCGGCGCGCGAGGCGGAGGCCATGGCGGGCTGCGAGGACTTCGAGCCCGCCATCCTGCAGGCGCGCGCGACAGACTGGTTGACGAATAAGGGTCTGGATTTCAAATTGTTTAGGCGTTCAACCTTGTTGTCTGATGATATGGACCGGCCTTGTTGCTTTGGGATGGCAGCAGAAGAATGTGCGCCAAGGCAGAGGCAGCGACCCACTCTCGAAGCCCGCGGCCTCCCACCCCTTCCTCTCTCAAATCTGCACCTGTGCCCACCAGACTGCTGCCTTTGACCAATGCAACCACCCACCCGCCTACCCAACACACACTCACACCAGATGGCATGCCAGGAGGCCCTGGGCGCTGACGCAGCGCCCGTCGCGCGTGCCGCGCTGCAGCAGCTGCACGCCCTACTCATCCGCCGCGCCGACGCGCGCCGCGCGGCCGGCGACGCGCACGCCGTGGACAGCATGTCAGTAGACGGGGAGAATGACGCAACAAACAAGGGCACCGGGGACAGGAGTGCGGCACAGGCCGGTGATCAGAAGGAGGAGGGCAGGCGGGGAGGGGGCGGACAGCAGGGGGG